AATGGACGCGGGAGACGGGGAGTGGGGGCGGGGAAGATGCAAACTGAAAAAAAATCATTTTGTAGAAAACTGAAAACAAACGTTCGTGAATAGAATATTTGGAAATTTTCCTCACAAAACGTTCAGTTGAGAGAACGTATTTTCCATAACTTCCTTCTTTTAACCTTTGTGGATTTTTTTTTTTTTTTTTTTTTTTTTTTTTTTTTTTTTTTTTTTTTTTTTTTTTTTTTTTTTTTTTTTTTTTTTTTTTTTTTTTTTTTTTTTTTTTTTTTGCTCTCTAGGCTCTTAATGCTCCGGGGCTCCGTCTCCTTTTTCTTCCTTCATTTCCTTTTAAAGGTTTTCCCATAGTACAAGTAAAGCATGAAAATAATTATTTTCGACTTTTTTTTAATGAAAGAATAATTTGAAGAATAGAAGTTAAAATGTGAAAAGTACAGATTAATAATAAACATTCTTTTTAAGAAAGTTTACACAGCCAACATAAAAATTGTATAATAGAATGGTGTTCACCTTGAATGAATATATTCTTTTAATAATATTCCTAATATTCATTCTGACTTTTTAGAAATGTTCAGCATATATAACATAAGGGAGAAAAGAGGTTGTCACTATAATGTTTGAGAGATCCAGCTTAAAATTAGACTTTAAAACATTTTTAATGATTTATTTTTGAATAAATGCATGTCTATCATAGTATAAGATTCAAATAGATTAAAAAAAAAACCGGATACAGTTGAAAGTAAATCTTGCTTCCTCAGCTTTCTCAGGCAGCTAATCCCCTCCAAAGAGGCAACCACTGCTACACTGTTTTCTTGTATATGCTTCCTGAGATAGTATATGCATTCACAAGCATATATGCAAATAGTCTTCCTTTTTATTAAGTAAATGTGTACTTTTTGCACCTTGCTTTTTTCACCTAATATATTTTAGTTGTATATATAGAGCTGCCTCACTCTTTTTAACTGCTGTGTGGTATTTCCTTGTAAGATATAGCATAATTTATTTACTGGTTCTCTACTGATAGGTATTTAAGTTGCTTACAATATTTTGTTATTCTAAACAATATTACAGTAGATATCTTTATAACTTATGTCTTTTTGAATATGTACAGGTGTAATAACTCCTAGAACTAGAATTGTTGAGTCAGAGGTCATTTGCATTTTTATTTTGATAGATATTGAGGGATTGCTCTTGACACAGTCTGTGCCAATTATGCCCCAACAGCAATATATTGATTGTTTCTCAGCGTCCTCATTATCACAGCATTTTATCAAGCTTTCTGATTCTTGACAATCTAAGGGAAAAATAGTAATTTATTGTTGTTTAATTTGCATTTCTATCATTATTAATGAGACTGAACATTTTGCATTTTCTGTCTGTGAGCTGGCTATTCATATCTTTACCCATTTTTTTGTTGGGATGGTCTTTTCATTATTGATTTCTGGGAGTCCTTTAAACATTAAAGAACTTAGTTATTTGTCTGAACTATGAGTTGCAGGTATTTTTTCCCAAACAGTCTTTGATTTTGTAATGGGGTTTTTTTGGTGGAGGAAGGCAGATTTTTGCTTTTCTTAAAAAATGTTTATATAGCCAAATGTATCAGTGTTTGTTTGTTTTTTAATGTCTTCTGGGTTTGGGATTATATCTTAAAAGGCTTTTTCTGCTCTAAGATCATCTTTTAAAAACAACCTCCCGATTTTTACTTTCTTGATTTTATTTGGTTTGATTTTTATGTTTATATCTTTGATTCATTTAAAGCTTAGTTTGGTGTAGGGATCCAACTTTATTAAATTGGAGTGCAAAATGAACCAACTGCTAATGGATCTGGTCGATTAGGACATGAGTCCTGGTTGATTAGCTACGTGAGAATCATCCCCAACTCCCCACAGACTTTCTTACACTTTATTCCTCCAGCACCTGCTATGGTGCCCGAAACAGAGTGAGTAGCTAATAAACCTTTGATAAACTAATTTGAAAGGAAATTTCTAGATATGATGTCTTATCTTAGTTATTTGCCATTGTTCTAGTATATAGTGTTGAAAGAGATAGTGATACCACTAACAGTTGATTTCTCCTGCATAAAATCTTAGAATCATGAAATTTTAGATCCAGAGACTAGAACAGTTATTCACTCCACAAATAAATAATAAGTTCGTGTTACTTACAGGCATTCTAGCTAGGGATGCAGAGAAAATAAAACAAGTACAATATGTCATGTAATGTAAGTGCTGTGAATCAAAACATCAGTGTATGGGCAATAGAGAGTAACAGGGAATGGAATGCTGCATGGATGCCCACTAGCCCAGGTTGTGAAAGACATTAATAAATGAATTGTCTCCACTTCATATGAGCACATGTGCAAACAATGAAAATTGAAAGGTGGTGGGGGTAAAGCCTCCACAATCCTAAGTGTCCCAAGGGAGCTGAAAATCAATTGTCTCTGTCTGGGTACATGTTATCTTTAGATTAGATTGTAAACTAGTGAGCAGGCCTATAATTTTTAGGTTGATTTTGTTATATTATGCATGCTTAGGTTGACGTGAGTGTTCTTTAAGAAAATTAATAAATTTGTAGTTCTGATAAGAAACTAAGGTCATTTTATGCAAAAAGCCAAAATTATATTCTACCCTTGGGCATGTCAGCCATGGCACTCTTCCCTACTAGTGGAAGTCTAGCTGATATTTCTTGCAGTAATTTCCAGGCAATATCCAAAGAAATCTTAGGAGAAAAGGCAGAAAGAACCCGTAGAAAGACTTAGGTTTTCAGTACCTTATACTGCCAACAAGAGTAGCTCTGCTTTTATCATTTATCTCTTCTTATCTTCCAGTTAAGATTACATTTTGAAGTAATTTGAAGCCATACTCTGACCATGACCCATCATGTGTGCATGGAAATGACAGACCATTTTTAGGAGCACATCACTGCATATGGTTTAATTCCATTTAGACGTGGAATTTAGAGACGATGTCCTAAAAGAACTGGGAGTTGAAAATTCCATGATGGAAGCCCACTGATATAGAATAGGGATCCCTTTAATGTGTGCAGCATTTTTTTGTGGATATGCTGGTTGCATGGAGAATTAGTGAATCAACCAAAACTTCCTAGTCGCTGAGCTATATTTTCCCAGGATTGTCAAGAATTGTCAAGCTCTAAGTTAGGAACATAGCATATTGGTGCCAGAATCAGATTTAATCAGCATTTCTAACATCTTGATGTATTCTTATTTCTTCCTGTATGCTGCAAGAGGGTACTTACGTACCAAAATTTGTAGTAGAGGGTAATATATTTATTTTGAAGAATGTGCCTTGATATTTCAACTAAAGAAAATAAATTTATTATTGAGGTATTTTATTCCAGGCAAATCAGGACTCAATTCCACATAAGTCAGAATCAGTTTATACAGTCTTATCACGCACTGAGCTTATTTCAGTGATGAAAAATATAAATTGCTGAACATATCCTCTTCTGAAATGCTGTTAGTTGCAAATGGGTTGCAATACCAGAACTATTTTTTAATTTTAGAAGTTATCTATTAAAATTTCTTAGCATATAGTGAAAACTGAGAAAAGCTACATACTTTACAAAAAGGTGTTTGGAGGTCTTGGATTCTGTATGTGACACAGAACTTACATATTTGGATCTCCCAGTGCTGGGCACATAGTAGGTATTCAGTACATATTTGTTGAAATAAATTTATTGAAGTATATTTTTATGAAGCCATCACATTATATACCTTAAATATATGTAATTTTTGTCAATTATACATCAATAAACCTGAAAAAAAATGTTAAATAAATTTATTCAAAATGTAAAACTTTATTACTTGCAATAAAAATAACATGAAGCAAGGAAATGCATTCAGTGACTTCAGGTAAGCGAAATTAGTCTGGAAATACCATCATTTACAATCAAGGTTATCTTTTGGACAAGACGTAAGGACCTAATATTCCCCTAATAATTTAGGGGAATCCATCATTCCCAAAATAAGGTTTTCATCTGTTTGCAGATTCCTGAAATGTCTTCATCTGGGAAAGCATGGCTGACATTGGTTCAGTTTCTTGATTTATTAGCTATTTGACCTTGGACAAGTCTGTTTCTTTGTTTGTAATGAGGATAATAATAGTTCCTCTACAAGTTTTTGTGAAATTAAATGAGATAATGTTTATAAAATGTTTGATCCATAGTGTTCAACAAAACATAATTTTATTAATATAATACTGTGTCCTTCCATTTAATCCTTAGAGTAACAATTTAAAATGCAAATACTGCTTGCATCAGATGTACTTATTCTATTTCAAAGTTTAAATGATAGCAGATTTTGTTCCCATATTCAATTGGAGAAAAGGGATTAACCGAGCAAATGGTCATTCAACACTTGAAATATCAAAAATTGAAAAGGCTAAGAAAAACCATACCCTGAGACTAGGGAAGACAATAATAAACTCTGCCTGCCTTCAAATGTTTGAAGCCCCCTTCACTCCCACCCCAAAAAGAAAAGTTTTAGCCAAAAGGACAGGTATCAACAGCAATGCTTGCACTCATTTATAGAGAGTTTGAAAAATCAAATTGAATTTTACTGTAAAGATCTTGATTCCCAGGGGATCCAGTAATTCATCTGCACATTTTACAATAAGACAAAGGGTGGCATAGAAACTCATAGTGCTTAGAGTTGTTAAATACATGAACAGTTTGCAGTGGATTTAATTACAGTTCTTAAAAACTATTTTGATACACTCTTTAGTAGGTAACTCGAAGTGGATCTAGACTTAAAGTCTTAAAGCTTTTAGGATCCAACTACCTATTTTATAATAGAACTCCATGTCCATGATTTACTATAACACAAATGGCCTTTTGACTCTCAGAACCTTGTTCTTGTCACTCTGCTGCCTTCCTACCTTTGAAATTTGGCTTTGAAATTTTCATTTCATTTCTTTCTAAAGGAAACATTTGTAAATTGTTAAAGAGTTTTTTTTTTTTTAATATTTTTTCCCATTAGAGTCTTCAAATGGATTTTAAAATTGAACACACTTGGGATGGTTTTCCAGTGAAACATGAGCCAGTGTTTGTCAGGCTGAATCCAGATGATAGAGGAGTGATGATGGAAGTTAGCGCTCCATTTTTCAATGATCCTCCAGCCCCACTAGGAGAACTAGGAAAGCCTTTCAATGAACTGTGGGATTATGAAGGTAAGTGGAAGTACTGTATTTTGTTGCAGACATAAATCTTTTTATAAGAACCTCTCATAGAACTATTATTTTATCTCGCTGTAAGCAAGTGAGTGCTTCTGAGCAACTGACATGTGCAGTTCCTGATATTTCCTACCAATCTCGCACTCTTGACTTTTTCACGTTACCTATGTGACTTCGACTATATAACTAGAATCAGTGAAAAATGGCAATTACAAATCCAGATTTTTTAATTGCTGCTATATTTCCTTCCTTTACTTCTGTTACCTATTCTAAGAAGAGTTCAGCATTTGTTTTGTTTTTAAGTATCTTCAAATTGCCACTTTAACCTTTTAAACCTTCTTTATGGAAGCTTTGGGGTGTTTCACTTATTATGAAAACACCATTAACTTAAACATGAAATGTAGTTTTTATTTTATACTGGCAAGTAATCTCACACATTAAGTGAGGGCTAAAAGACCGGCCATGGAATTCCAGTTTCAGGTTTGCTGTATGATCACCTTCTAATGAATCCTAATTAAGCCACCAAACTTATCTTTCTTAAATAATCTTTATGATGCCATTTCCTAGATTACAAATCATTACTGTCCCTAATATAAGGTTCAAACCCTTCCCATAAGCTTCCAGGGTACTTCTGAATCAAGCTATCAAATTAAACCAAAAGTTCTTGACTTCCAAAAGGCTGATAGTCTCATTCATGCATATTCTCACTCATGTACCTTTTCTCATTTGAGTCCCCCTGCCTCTAATGCACATCGTTGAAGGTCTAATTCAGGTTTCATTTCTTCAAAGAAACCTTTGATGACTCTTCTAGTCCATACTAACATCTACTTTCTCTATACCATCTATATAGTATGCATTTTGTCAGTGTTAATCTATCATATGTTAAACATATGTTGTCTTTTATTGTTACAGAACTTGTATATACCAGCTTCCTGTTGGTGTACACACTAATGTGAGTTATCTACTGGAGGTACTATAGACACCAAACTCAACAAGTCCTAAACTCAACTCATCCACTTCTCTCATAAACTTGCTTCTTTCACTAATTGCCCAATCTCAATCAATAGCACTATAATACATCGAATCACCAAATGTAGAAATGTGAGATCTTTCCAAGATATCCTTCTCTCTCACTCTCCATATTTGGATCTATTTTTTAAGTCCTGTCAGTTTCACCTCCTAAATGTTTCTCTCATTTATTATCTCTTCTTCATTCTACCATCCTTGCCATAGGTAAAAGACTTTAAAAGGAACAGTAAGACTCTGGGTTGTTGATGGGGCTATATCTATATATTAGATATTTTATTATTATAAAGATAACACATGGAAAACTAGAAACAACCTAATGTCTATCAATAAAGAATTATGTGAATAAATCATAACATTCTATAGAAGAATACTATGCAGTAATTAAAAAGAATTAGGTATTTATATGCTGTACAGGTGTGTGTGTGTGTGTGTGTGTGTTTGTGTGAAAAAAGCAAGTTGTAATCAGAAAATGATTACATGTATATTTTTTTAATCTATGCAGGTAAAATAGATTATGGAAGGACAGAAGAAGTCTGATAGGTTTTAGAGCAAAGTGGGAAGAAAAGGACTTTGACTTTTTACTCACATATATGTTTATGTTCTTTTAATAATTTAAAAGATATGTGTCACTTTTATAATTATACAGGTTTTTAAATAAACATGCTCAGAAAATTTCAGGAAATTATAAAGAAAAATCACTCAACCTGTATTCCACCTGTCAGAGATAACCAACCATAACATTCTTGTGCATGTTTTGCAGGCAACTAGGCACAGGCATACGTGCACAGTTTTGTTTCATGTGCATTTGGTTATTGCTCTGCAGCCTACTTACCAAATATCATGGATATCTTCCTATATCAAAAAATATTTAACTGTATATTTTATTTTAATGACTGCATTATATTCTATTACATGGAATACACAGATTCCATAATTTATTTAACAGGTCTCCTATATAATAGGATATTTATTTATATAACAGGAGATAACAATTTAGACCATTTCTTTTTGAGTAATACTGTACTTTGATGAATAGCATCTTACTTCTTTTTCAGTTGTGTGATTATTTCCTTAGGATAAATTCCTAGAAGAAGATAACTAGCTCAGAGTCTGTGTGATATGTTCATTTCTTTACATCCTCACCAGCACTAGGCTTCATTAATATTTTTATTTTATGGCAATTTGATATGGGGAAAAAAAATGATGATTTATTTTCTATGTATTTTTTTCTTCCAGGCAATGTCTATTTATTTTATTTTCCCCTTTTCCTAGTGGTGATATAGCTTTAATTAAAAATAATGCATTAATTCACTTTATATTCTAAAGGTATAAACAAATTATTTATTGTTGAAGCAAAATTAAGTTTCTCAATGTGTCATATCTCTGTTTTCAAAAGTTGTGGAAGCATTTTTCTTGAATGACATAACTGAACAGTATTTAGAAGTTGAACTTTGTCCGTAAGTATAAAATATTTCTTCTAACTCACTACTACATATTTTGAACACATTATTTTCTAATTATAAATCATGGATATAGTAAAAGCTCACTAATTCTAGTTAACTAGTCAGAATGCTAATTTGAATTAATCTGAATTATATATAATTCCTTATTTTCAAGTGAATGTATGATGTAGAATATATAAGGTTTTGAAAATATTATGTTGATACTATTTTCAATTCACTAATGTAGTTGGTTTTCTAATAAATTTGAAGTTTTTTTTACAAAATGAAAAATTATTATAAAACTCATTATTTACTCTGTAAATTTGCATTGTTATATATTAGCTATTTAGAAATAAAGAGAGACATATTCATTATTTACTCTGTAAATTTGCATTATTATATATTAGCTATTTAGAAATAAAGGGAGGCATATAGGTATAACGAAGTGAACTACTTTATGAAAATGTTTCTTTTAGGGGATTCTTTTAATAACTAGATTAAACTTTAATTTTATATATTACATAATTATGTATTCATGTATTCCTTCCTTTATTTATCATTCATTTACTGAGTGTATACTATGTCACTTTATGTTCAGTGCCAAGGATAAAAACTAAATCACACATGGTTTTTCCTAGACTTATGAAAAATATTAACCTTGGACTCTTTTTGTACAAATTTAACTGGTCCTTGGGAACTCTCTACCTGGTTGGCAGTTTTTTTCTTGTAGAAGTCAAAAAGTAAATCTATACCTACCTGTTATCTAAATTATAAGAAATTTTAAGTTAATATTTAGTAATGAAATATTTCTTTATATTTCCATTACTCATTTAAAATGACATTTAAATACTTCTCAGCATCTGTTATCTAGTAGCCTTTGTCCTTTTGTAGACTAAGCAGAGTCCCAAACAATTGATTTCAATGAGATTTTAGATATCATTTCTTTTCCCTTATTTTGATTTCTTGCTAATGCTAGTGTGGAAAATATAGCTGTTCACAATTATATTTTTCAGAAGAGTAATTATATATCTTTGTTACCCTTCAACTAACATGCCAAAATCTTTTATTGAAAAATATGATTAATTCTCATAAAGTGTAATGTGAGGTAAGAAAATTTCACCATACACATGAGGAAGCTAAGGCAAATAGGTTTATAACTTGTCTAGAAGATAGTCAAGAACTTGAATCTGCTAAAATTCTAAAGTTACATCCTTAGTTTAAATTTTTAGATGATAATATCAGTTTATTTTTATAAAGTGATGACTTAGCATAAGATACATCAGATAATTAGATTATCTTTTGTTAGGAAATTATTCAATAACCATAATGTATAAAATTAACAAATTCTAAAAGTTTGTTTTTAGATACATTATTACAGTTAGTAATCAAGAATCATGGTTTTGCTTCAGGCAATCAACTCCTGTGACAGTTAACCTCTAGGAAAGCAACTTGAATATGTTTGTTTGAATTTTTAAGAACTTTTATTGTTCTTAGGATATTCTTAAGGTTGCATAATAACAATAAAAAGAAGCAGAGAACTTTTAAATGGAAAAGAATATTTGTTTTCTGTTAGACTGGTTTCTTGAAGGAAATCCTTCCTGAAAAGCTCCCAACAGACCATCTGTGTCAAAATGTTTAGATATAGTCTTTTCCAGAGACCGTAAATTTGCTCATGTAACTATCTGAAATCCTTTGATTCTTACTGACATGGATAATCCCAATTATGCTCTCTTATTAGAATTTTCTTTTGGGAGTATGTTGTGCTTCTCCTTGAACATGTGACATCAGTGTCAGAACTAATGGTTGAAAGCAGAAAAACACAGCAGGCAGATAGGTCGAGGACAGTTGTAGAGAAAATAGTTACAAATTAAAGTCTTCAACCTGTTAAGTAGTTTTAGACAATCTATATTTTATCTTCCATCTTCCTAATAAGCTTCAAGACAGTTTTCTTATAGAAATAACCTTTACTATGTTTGTTGGATTTTGACCTGGAAATTGGTGCCAGCTTCCCTTAGGATACTTTCATTTTTGAAACAAGTTTTATTATGAACTCCAGATACCACCCCTTTTGCATACTTTGGACCATCTAACCAATTGAAGTATTTCATATAGTTTCCTATTTAAAGAATATAAAAAAGAGTTTGAACATGTGTAGCTTTATGCATTTGACGGCAATTGCCTGGAAAGTGTTAAACTCAAAGAAGCCATTTTTAAGTAACTGAACATGCTGGCTGTCCCTGTAATTATCCAATATTCATATTGCATCTTTTAATTATTTGGAAATTTAGTTACAAGCATACACATGGCAGATACGAAAGATAGTGAAGAAAATAATGTTTATTTCAAACACTCATGAAGAATTTTAATTTTGACAGCCATGGACAGCATTTGGTGCTTTTACTCTCTGGAAAAAGAAATGTGTGGAAAGTAAGTAAATAAAACTATGAGACAAAATCCTTAAGTGTATAAGACAGATAGATTTTTTAATGTTAATATAAACATATTTAAATATTATTATATTATAAATATGAATTTACCTTTTGTGTTTCACATGTTGTTTCTGTAGCAAGAACTTGATCTATCATTCAAAGCGTCCAGAGGAGAGACAAAATGGGAAGGTAGAGCTTATCTTCCTTGGAGTTATTTTCCACCAAATGTGACAAAATTCAATTCATTTGCAATTCATGGATCAAAAGAGAAAAGAAGCTATGAAGCTCTTTACCCTGTACTTCCACATGAGCTGCAGCAAGGACAAAAACCTGATTTGTAAGTAGAAAATAAATGAAAATATGTCCCAACTATAAGAGTTTTTAAAAATTAATTCTTGGTAGAGTAGTAGTAACATTTTTTGGTCAAAGAAGACACGTGTAAAAGCACCAAGTAGAGTTCTATGTGTCCTGATGGTCTTCAGTGAGTATCTGGCAGACTGACTTTGGACAGACATAGTCTCTCTCACTGCTGTCAGTAGAGCACTTAGATTTCCATGGCAGTGTGAGAAAAGTCTTGCTTAGTGAGTATTACTACAACTGGCATAGAAGTGTGGTTGTAAGTTTATTTATGATCCCTTTCAGAGCGAAATGGCCAGAGGCATCTGTTAATAAATCCTTTCCCCTTCTGCTTGAGAATCTGACATTAAGTCAACTCTCTAGTTCTCTTCTCCTGGTAACCTCATAAGGATAAAAATGTCAGCTATATTTCTAGGCAGCATAGATGGAGACAGCACAGCTTTGGGATTTCCCTTTAACAGTAATGTTCTCTGTGGGGACCCTGGAAGCTATACCTAGGGAGTTATTGCAAGAAATACTGTCTCCTGTTGGACAGCGGGCATACAAGCCAGGAGGTCTCCTATGCTTTCCCATTTTGAGTCTGATCTCTTTGCACCTGAAGCTGTCACTTAAGGAGAATGTAGCCCTGGCCAGCCTTCATGGACCGCTGCAAGCACTACCAGCTCAGGGAGGAAAGCCAGCCTCTGTCCTGGGGCAAGCTGAGATTCTCACACTATAGCTATAGCGTGTACTCAAGTGGCCAACATAGTCTGTGGGTCTGCGTGTTTAGAAAAGCCTAACAGAGACGTCGTAGTGGGCTTTGTACTCTGGTACACAGATTTCGCTGCCTTTTCACCCTTGGAAAGTGCTGCACTGTTCTCCTTCTCCCTTGCCCTTTCTGTCGTGCTCTTACTCCGCTGTACTTGACTTTTTATCTCTTCTAGCTTATTCCTTTTTTCTGCCAGATGCATTTTTCCCTTTTCCCCTTGCTTTTCTAGGAAAAGCCTCTTTCTCCCTTTCTTTCTCTTATCCTTCACTGTCATTTTCTTAACTGCTTATCTGGATTGACTAAAACTGGCCCAGCCTGGTCAGATGGGCAGAGTAGGACAGGAATCTAGATGTAACTCACCCAGGGCTCACATATCAAGATGGCATGTTTCTCTGGCTCTTCACAAGCTACCATATTCCTGTATTCAGGCTTCCTAGGTATAGGTTATCGGAAGCTTACTCTAGGTAAAAGTATGATTATGCCATTGGCTAGGGCAGAATGATTTCCTACAGAGCTGAGTTCCATTGCAGCATGTTAGCTAACCTTTCTCTCATTAAACCACAATAGAAAGCTTCCTAATGGTTAAATGGTTTTCCTAGAAAGAAAAGAACTAGAATTAACCCTCTTTTACATAAACCTGCCTTGCTTTGGCAAAGGAGTCTGTTCTTTAATCTGTTGAGCTGAAACTTTTTTAAAAAGTTATTTACGTAACTGATATAAATCATCAAAGTTTGAATATGAAAACATCTGTAAGAGTATAATATGATTTGTTTAAGGCTAGATGGAATGAGTCAGGTTTTCAGGGTTGGTTTTTATTTCTCCCTTCAGCTGTGAGGGAGCTATCTACAGAACTGAAAGAAGAGTGCTTTGAGATATGGGTGAATATTTTCAGAGTTGAATGATTGCTAGAGTGAGAAAACTGTACATGTAGAATACATCTTACCTTTGATATTCTTAAAATAGAATGTCCTATAACAGATATAACAAAATAAATAGCCCTGCAGGACAGCTTTTTCACAAATGCATAATTCATTTCAATTCCAACCATCTTTTTCTTTGCATTTAGCCATCATCTGGAATACTTCAAGCCTTTCAGTTTTAACACACTACTTGGAGAAGAGTGGAAACAACCAGAGTCAGACCTGTGGCTAATAGAGAAACCTGATGTGTAGGAGTATAGTAGATGACCACATCAATCATTTCTTCTCTATACCTTTTAAGGTAAACTAATAATAAGTATAATCTCTTTCAAGACACCATGAACACATTTCAACAATAAATATTTCATAGAGGTCAGTGAAAGTATGTAGTATCTCTGTGGCAAATTGTGTATGAATTAACAAGAAAGTAGAAAGTTCGTGTATGATTTTATCTATAAAGTGAAAATGTTTCTTGGAGTCACTTAGCCCAGGAGCCATCATGCCAAGGGGCTCTACCATCTGCCTTGCAGCACCATCACCCCACATATCCCGGACTCTGTCAATCAAGATCAATATTTCTCTTCCCACTCCCCTAGACCTCAGCCAGCTTATGACTGAACATCTTATTTGTACATTTTTGAACTCCATAGTAATGTATAATAATTCTTTACTCAGCCTCCTCTGTCCATTTTTGAAATGAATAGAAAACAATGACATATTTCAGTTGAACAGGAGGTGCACATCTGTTAAGGCATTATTAAAATACACGTGCTATTTAGTTAGCTGTATTTCCTGTCTTACGACTACTTTTCTTCTGTGGAAGAAAGTGGAATGAAGTAGTCTTGAATTCGGCCAACAGATTCTGCTTTTCATTTACAAATAAATGACATTTTCTTTTTTTTTTTTTTTTTTTTTTTTTTTTTCATTTTCTTAATGCTGTTAAACAAGTGTCAAAATGTCTTCATTTTATTTTGTAAACATCAAACACTCCTGGTCCATAATTTTCAAATTTTGTGTTATAATTCATAGCTTGAAGCCACCTAGTAGATTATCTATGAACTTCTCCACCAAACCTGGTCCTTTACCACCATTCTTAACTCAGAGATTAGCAGTCGTACAGAAGAAGAACCTTTATTACTTGTACAGATACCTAGTTGCCTACCCAGCGATATACTTTTTCCTCTTCTTCTTTGCTAACTCTTATATAGCTTGAATTTTTAGGGGATTTTCTCAAAAACTACATTTACTCATATTCCTTTGCAGGTAGAAATGGCACTGGAAAACAGTTTAGGTCAACGAGATTTAAGTATACAGTGTTAGGTGGGCCTTCAAGAAAAGATGCCTCACAGATGAAGGACTCTGCTGCCATGTACCTTTTGTCCTTTGCCTTCCCTCTCCCTTTTTCCTGAATTATAGAATTGATACCCGAGGTAACATGCTTGCTCCATTGTGTTAATGAGGAGACAACCCAAGAATAGCTCAGTAGCAAGATAAAGGAGCCTGGGTTCCAAACAGCACAATAGAGTAACATGTCATATCTGGACTGCTACCTACAGATTTCTTTATAAAGAGAAAATATAAACTGCCTAATTTGTTTCCACAAATCAATCTATAGATTCAATGCAATCCCATTTTAAAAAACCCAGAAGGATTTTTTTGGTAGAAATTGACATGTTGATTCAAATTTTATATGGAAATGCAAAGGACCTGAAATAGCCAAAACAATTTTGAAAAAGTACAAAGTTGGAGGACTTGTACTACCTGACTTTAAGACTTATTGAGCGTCAATAATGAAGAAAATATGACCTTGCATAGATTTAGACAAATATATCAATGGAACAGAATAGAGAAACCAGAAAAAGAACTACATATAGTCAATTGATTTTTGACAAAGGGAAAGGGTAGTCTTTTCAACAAATTGTGCTGGAATAACTGGAAAAACATGAAAAGAAATTAACTTACCTAACAACCTACAGGAAAATTAACCTAAATGTGACTGGTGAAATGAAAAAAGTTCTAGAAAAACTCTTCACATTCAAGGGTAGACAAAGATTTTTTTCAAATAGGACATAAAAATCACTAAAAAAGAAAAACATGAGAAATTGAACTTCATCAAAATTTAAAATTTCTGTTTGTCAAAAGCTTCAATTTAAGAAAGCAAAGAGGCAGTCCAGCAATTCCACCCCTGGGTGTCTATATCTGAAAAAAAATGGAAACACTAATTCAAAAATGTACATGGACCCCAATGTTCATAGCAGCATTATTTACAGTTGCCAAGATATGGAAGCAGCCTAAGTGTCCATCAACAGATGAATGGATAAAGAAATTGTGGTACATATACACAGTTGAATACTACTCAGCCTTAAAAAAGAAGGAAATTTTGCCATTTGCAATGACATGAATGGACTTGGAGGGCATTATGCTTAGTGAAAAAAGTCAGAGAAAGACAAATACTGTATGATATCACTTATATGTGGAATCTAAAAAATAAACTAGTGAATACACTGTAAGTCCCCTATATACGAACGAGTTCTGTTCCGAGAGTGTGTTCATAAGTCCAATTTGTTCATAAATCCAACGAAGTTAGCCTAGGTACCCGACTAACACAATTGGCTATATAGTACTGTACTGTAATAGGTTTATAATACTTTTCACACAAATAATACATAACAAACAAAAAGAAAACATTTTTAATCTTACAGTACAGTACCTTGAAAAGTACAGTAGTACAGTACAACAGGTGGCATACAGGAGCTGGCATTGAGTGAACAGGCAAGAAGAGTTACTGACTGGAGAAGGGAGAGGAGGTGGGGAGATGGCAGAGCTGAAGGATCGACAGCAATAGGAGATGGAGGGCAAGCTGCAATTTCACTCACGCCTGACGTGGATGGCACAGGTTCTGGTTCCTTGCTGGATTCAATTCTATTTACCTGCTTGAAAAAATGATCCAGTGATGTCTGGGTAGTAGCTCTTTTTTTCTCACCATAGATGACACGGTAGCACTGGACTGCATCCTGAACGGCTGCTGCAACCTTCGTGTAATGTTCTACATTCGGTTCCTGTGCCTCAAAAACTAACAGTGCCTCCTCAAATAAAGAAAATCCCCTTGCCATTTCCTGCATCATGAATCTCTTCGGTTCTTCAGTTACTTCTTCCTCTGTCTGTCTTCGTCCTTTCTCTGAGCACGTTTGCATCTTTGAAAGTTTGCAACTTGAAGATTGGTATATAGGTGACTTACTGTATAACAAAAAATGAACAGACTCACAGATAGAACAAACTAGTGGTTACCAGTGGGGAGAGGAAAGGGGGAGGATCAAGTTAGGGGTAGGAGATTAAGAGGTACAAACTACTATGTATTAAATAAATAAGCTAAAAGGATATATTATGCAACACAGGGAATATAGCCAATATTTTATAACAATAAATGGAATATAACCTTAAAAATTGTGAATTACTATGTTGTACACCTGAAACTTATGTAATATTATATATCAACTATACCTCAATTTTAAAAAAAGAATTAAAAAAAAAAGATAGTGAAGAGGCAAGCCACAGATTGGGATAAAGTATTTAAAATAGATATATCTGATAAAGGACTCTTCCCAGAATACATAAAGGACGCCTACAAATCAGTAATAAAAGGACAAGCCAATTAAAGAGCAAAAGACTTGAACAGACACTTCACAGAGGAAAATATATAAAAGGGCAATAAGTAGAAAGTATAGCAAGGTTCTCAACTTCCCTTATCACCAAGGAAATGGAAATTAAAACCACAACAAGGGGCTTCCCTGGTGGCGCAGTGGTTGAGAGTCCGCCTGCCCATGCAGGGGACACGGGTTCATGCCCCGGTCCGGGAAGATCCCACATGCCGCGGAGTGGCTGGGCCCGTGAGCCATGGCCGCTGAGCCTGCGCGTCCAGAGCCTGTGCTCCGCAATGGGAGAGGCCACAACAGTGAGAGGCCCGCGGACAAAAAAAAAAAAAAAAAAAAAAAAAAAAAAACACAACAAGATACCACTAAATAACCAAAATTAAAAATTCACACGATGGCTAAAATTGGAAATGACTGACAATACCAAGAGTTAATGAGAATGTGGAGTACCTGCATCACAGGTTCAGATATAAATGATAACTTTATAATATGGGGGCAAAGTAAAGCACAGATATCCTAGATACAATCAAAACCATAGTAAAGATTGAATTTGGATGTTGCACTTTGTGAGCTATCTGAAACCTAATATGTATCTTCTTTTTATCTGTTTAGATGCTTTGAAAACATCTCTTGACTTTCTTTTCTCTAGATAAGAAATATTTTCCTTCTTCTAATACCAAGCAAGCAAAAACACATTATGTTAAACATTTTCTTTTGAAAGGAACATGCAGTTCAGGGAAAATTTATCCATTAGTCAGATACAAACAATGCACCCTATAGAAACTTAGTATTTGAGAGTGGGTGTTTGTAATAGCTGTTTCAAATTTGTTTTTCCACTTTAGGACCATGAAAGAATATCATTTCTTTGTTTAAGATATGCATAAGTGCATTTCCTTGGTGGGTTGTGAATTGTTCACTATAGTTATCAGGCAGATCGTCTCTTCTCGCCACGTAAATAGATTACACTCTGCATGTATTTATTCAGGTGCTTCCTCATGCGTTTTCTCAGCTCCAGTAAACTAAGTCACAGTCCAGAGGGAAATATACTTTTTATTTTTAGCCCCCCAATACTTCTTTTTCAACCTTAAAAAAATTTTTGCCACAGAAAAAATGTTTATCTCTTCCTTTTCTTCCTTCTTTTTAAAATGTTAGGCTTTGAGGGCAGAAGATAGTGAATATATTGATAACTAATTAATCTGATATTTAAAAAGAGGATGCAAATGGTGGAGCAATTACAGTAAGCCCTCAACACTTGTGCTCATGCCTCAAAGCCCAAGGCTCATCTCCTCGTGCCCTTTGAAGTTTCCATAGGAGTTTAACATTACTGTATTTCTGTACTTACCCCCACTGTGCATTAGGAAGCTCTCCTGACCCACCTCCCATCCTCTCAACCTAACATTTTACTCCAGCAGCCAGTTGGACTCAGGGAACTGACAGCATCCTGTCTCATGGCTTGTCTGCTGCCTCAGCTTGTGCTGGCTAAAAGTATATTTAGCCAGTCTCGCGCATAAACTACCTTGGATGTGAGAGGGAGCTAACACCTCATGGGACAACTCTTTTTTTTTTTTAATTTTTATTGGCATATAGTTGCTTTATAATGTTGTGTTAGTTTCTACTGTCCAGCAAAGTGAATCAGCTGTACGTATCCATATATCCCCTCTTTTTTGGATTTCCTTCCCATTTAGGTCACCACAGAGCACTGAGTAGAGTTCCCTGGGCTATACAGTAGGTTCTCATTAGTTACCTATTTTATACATGGTATTAATAGTGTACATATGTGAATCCCAATCTCCCAATCCCACCCTCCCATTCCCCCTTGGTATCCATACGTTTGTTCTCTGCG